CGATACTTATAACAAAACATAAAACAAACTAACTGAGTACCAGCTCCGGTTTCAATTGGATTATCACCTGGACTAGTTAGAGATGCATGGATCAAGCGTCAAATGGGAAACTGATAGAATAACTTGTAGATATACAGGCTTTACCAGTTTTAAAGTTGGATTTTCTTTTTCTTCCTATAGCTAGATTAGAAATAGGAACTTTTTTTTTATATACATTGACCCTTTAGTGACACTGAGGCCATCCCAGATATAACAGGTAGTCCGGCCACATTTCATCCGCTATCTGCTCCCTGATTTGCAACATAGCTGGGGAAGCCTGTTCCTGTTCCTCAGCTACTTCCTCTGGACTTTCATCTTCAGTATCCCTATGGTCACTCTCTCACTCATATGGTCTATCACTCGACCCCTCCTGTTCTTCTTGAGTATGGTCTTCATAGCCTAATCGTTAGCTTTGTATTCCAGAAAGACTATTTATATTTTACAGAATGAATGGAATATTTACTATGCAAACCTTGGTCATTTAATTGATCCATGAAACCATCTGCTTCAAGAGATTCCTTATGAATCAGGTTATAAAGACCAGCTAGTGCTACGACAAGTTTTACTTGAGTAACCATTGGGAACTCAAGTTGGCCTTGCGGGATAGAAAACTGACGCTTGAAGATTCCAAAGAATCTTTCAATTACATTACCTAATTGAGAATGTCGGAGATTAAAAAGCTCTTCTTTATTTGCTGGCCTATTATTATTTGAAATATAGTTAGTACATATATTTCAAAACGTAGTACACTTGTAATCAGTTCTGATACCGACTTACCTTTTAGGTGACTGATAATGCTCATGTAAATAATATCTTACCCCACAATAGGGGGGGAGGCAATCATTATTCAGAGCATACCCCGCATCCCCCAGATAGTATTTTCCATCTGGAATAACAAATCCCTTTGCTAGAGCATCTTTAAAACCCCTTTGATCATGTGCGGAGCCCTCCCAACCAGACAAAATGAAGCAAAAGTACATGCTAAATGTACAGGCGGCGAAAACATTTCTGATAGCTGTTCCTTACGATTACGAAACCATGGAATCATGGTACTCAGGGCATGAGCAGTGATATGTGTGCCATCCATAGCTCCTAGAGTATTCTGAAAGTACGGATCGAACTTAGGATTGCGCTGAACCTGATACGCGCATTCGTTGAGTGGGAGCATAATCAACTCCTTGGCTAATTCCAATAGGCCATCAAGAACACTGTTGAAATATCTAATTAAGGACACATTAGCTATCAAATCACTATCTAATATGGTATAATGCTAAAGTAATAAGTAAGATGTCAAATATCCTTACCTGCTTACAGTGTCTCCACATTTTTGAAATCTTCTTTGAACCTGATGGTTAGATGTATTGTGGGATACTGTTCAGACCAACATAGCCACTTATTCTGTCAAAAAGATATTCTCTATGCTTCGCAAGTGGCTACCCTGTTCCAACAAACTGCACAAATGTAGAAAGACCTGCTTTGACATACGAAGAACCTGATGAAAGCACTTCTCACTGGTAGTTGCTGACAATAGTTCCGCAGTATAGACTCTACCACTTAGAATAGGGTACGGACTCTTACTGCTTCAAATCGATGATCGACATACTCCTCGACCTTGCTGATAACTTAAAGCAAATTGATATGCTTACGGGAACACACTTCACTCATTTCAGACGTATCAGAACCAGAGTCTGAACACCTCTCATCCGAGTCGAAGGTGGTGACCATATGGCTACTCTGAGGTGGAATGTTTTCCGATTGTGGTTCATTCATAATGTAAAGCGGCTGATAGTTGAATGATGCAAATTGGAATGATCTATAATTCATTAGCTCTTTGCTACAAATAATGTAATATTACTCTTCCTTTTATTTATCATAAGATGCATCATATTTCATGATTCAAACATAGCCCTACAAGAAATACATGCAATAAAAATTTATAGAAGTAATAAAAATATATTGCGATATAAGGTCAGTTACCAAACACCCCCCTCTATAAAAACTTTAATATGCTACAATTTATGCTATAAAAGTCACTTTTATGTTATAAAAGTGAGGTGCCGAACAGGGCCTTATTTTAAATACAATATAAAAACTTACTTAGTCACAGTAAATCCACTAACTTGAAATCTTTTCTGTACCTTGCGATTGGTACTCCGATGACCAAAAACAGCAAGAAACATAGCCAACTATTCTTCTATTGAGATCCTTTTGGTTTCCTGGAGTCCTGTATATACAACCATCCAGTCCCTCAAGTTAAGAAAAGTCTGTTTAGGCATCCGGAGGACTTCATAAATTCGGCGTTCATTCTAGGTAAGTAACTCTTCGATGTACTCCTTTCCCCTTAATGGTGAGGTTCGACAGGCTTCCTTATCAAATTGCAGACAGGCATGGGTATGGTGCGTGGAAAAAATTAACCGAACACCCAGGTGGGCATGGCAAACCATTGCTCCTGGACAACCTCGCACACCTAACACTCCCACCAAAGTCATTACCACTCAACAACTACCTTATAATACCTGCTCTTTTTTTATCCTAAGAAATAATGGCTCCTATTGTTCGCAGCCATAAATACAAACCTATTCCTTCCAAGTATCTGAGTCAATGGACAAGGGGAAGAGTGTGTGGGTGGCATGAAAAAGGCGTGCCTTTGAGAGACATTTCCCACTAACTCAACATCCCTCTTACTACTCCCCATGACACAGTAGCAAGAGGAGATCAAGAGGGGGAGGAGAAAAAAGGCAGAGGAAGATATCCTAAGAGTTCCCAGACTCAGGATGAAGCTATAGTTGAGGAAGCTATCATAGATCGCAATACCACCTATCAAGAGATTGCCAAGAAGGTTGTACCAGATGTTTCTGGAAAGACTATAAAGAACAGATTGGCAGAAAGAAAACTTAAAAAGTGGATGATACAAGAGAGAGTTCATTTGGATAAAGATTTAGCTCAGGAGAGGTTGAAATGGGTATTAGCCCATAGGCATTGGACAAGAGAGATGTGGAGAAGGAAGGCAGTATGGGGAGATGAGGTAGCTGTGGAGAGAGGAGGGAAGAGGAGGAAATGGATATTCAGATACCCAAAGGAGAAATAGAATAAGGATTGTGTTGAACCTGTTGCTAGGAAAGGAGAGACAGGGATTAGCCAGATGATGACTGGTTGTTTTCATGGTCAAACTCATGGTCTTTTTTTTGCCTGTTTTTCCTGATCCTTCTTCTGCTAGAGGTGGTGTTACTGGAAAGTCAATTATTGATATTTATGATCATTATGACTTTCTAGGAATATGGGAGGACATTAGGGAAAAGGTTGGGCAAGAAGAGGTATTTTTTATCATTGACAATGCTAAGACTCACTTGCCCTTTAGGAGATGGCTCAGAGGTCATGGAATTACTCTCTTGGAAATTCCTGCCTATTCACCAGATCTCAATCCAATTCAAAATGTTTGGTCTCTGGTGAAGGATAAACTTCATAAGCACTATCCTGAGCTGTATCTCATGAAGGGTCCTGTGAATGAGGTCAAAGAGGCAATTGAGGAGGCAATTACTCATTGTTGGGAGCTTGTTGATTCAAAGGTTTTTGATACTTTGGCAGGATCTATGGTGGATAGGATAGAAGCAATGATTAAGGCTGATGGATGGTATACTAAGTACTGATTACTCCTCTGTATTTAAATTAATTTTACTTATTTTTGTTGGGTTGGGGTGGTTGGATGTATGAGGAGGTAGTCATTGCAGCGGGGGTTATGAGGGTTTGTTGCCGTTGCCGTTGTTCGGTTATTTTTTTCCACATACAATACCAACAATAAGACCTATGTTACATAACATAGCAGGAGAAAATGGATATAAAGATTGAGAGATAATAGGATCAGGCATTATGGATGGGATTTTTCTGGTATGTTTCGGGTATGTTTACTGGAGAATGACAATGACTTCTATGCTTACAAATACTATAGTGTGGTTGGGTTAGGGTTTTTTCATTTTAAAGTTTTGTAAAAAATAGGTTCTACCTATTTTTTGGATAACTTCGTTTTGAACTAATTGTTGCAACTTGATCACTCCGCTCCACTGTCAACCAGACATGCCACTTCACGGCAAAATAGAGTTTTGTGGGAAACTTCAAAAATCAGGGCCAAAATAGAGGTTTGTTGTGGCAACCAGACGCGCCCTAAAAGTTTGTGGCAGAAGGGGACAGGGTGTATAAAGGTCTGACCTAGTGTCATATTAGAAAACATTTCGGTTACTAGTAGGGTGGCGGATTGCGGTAAATGGCCAATTAGGTGAACGCCGGGTAAGAATTGAGGCCTAGACACTGTGGATGGTGGCGACCTGCTTGACCCTAGGCACCATGAACTTAGGTTAACCGGTGTGGGAGCTTTTCCTGAGCCTCCCTATATTGGATGGTGTGCCCGACCGAGTAGAGCCCCCCGTGTTGTCCCGCGAATGCACTCTCGGATAAATTGAGGCTTAACGGAATGCAGAAGTGCTGCAATGATATGCGGTATAATTTCAATGATAGGAAGAAGCAAAAATATAGGACGAAAGGTAATTTTCTATAGGGGTGGTGTTGGTTGTATTTTCTCAGTCCTCCTCCGTGGTTGCCATCTATCCTGAGAACAAAAAGAAAGTCACCCCTCGACCGTGCAGAACTGTGGGCTAAGCTATCCTCCTAACCACCTAGTCTTGCGCACACAAATACCAGAAGAAACACCGTCTCCAGACTCTAAAACCTATACCCCCTTCACACCGGGCCTCTCTAGGTAAATCAGGAGTAAATGAGCAGTGTGGCAATGAGAGTCGGATCTTTCTGAGTAGGTGAGAAGGGTATCTCCTGACAGGCAAAGTGAGTCCTAGGGAAAAGATGCCAATAAATCCTGCTTATGTAACCTATGATTGTAACACAGGTAGGTTTGTTTGCTATATCCTTACCGAAGTTCTTTGCTCTCGTCAAGAATCACCAATCCCCTCACAACCGACTTCCTTCATTCTCAACTCTCCACCACCTGCACTCACCTAACTACCGACAATCAATTGTTTCAAAAATTGTCCATGATGATTCCGGCTATCCCTTCTCGAATTTGGTCATTCAGACCAACTCCGGTCCATGCCCCGGTGTTGTCACCTCATCTCATGATGTGCACTTCAGGGTGGCATCGGCCCACGCGGTCCTTGATCCAATCCCAGCTGCCTACCTCCCCACATGTGCACCGTAGCGGCTCGGGTCAGCTGTATAGGAGAACCGCTGAGTGGTTGTCCTCGTCTGTCTCTTGCATCACTGCTCGTACTGTGTTTTCCGAGGCACTTGAGTCCCCGAGTTTGATTGCCAATAAAACAAAAGTCAGTTTCCGCACCAATACTTTTGGCAGTCATGTGTTTGTGTATTAGATTCAAGCTAACGGTGAAAGATTCTCAACCTATCTAAAACTGGGTGGAGTCTGGTAGGAATTGTTATTTGTACCATTGCGAATGTTCTTTATGCATATAGAATCAATCGCACCAGAGAAATTGGCCTCACCAGCGCCCTGGACCGAGGATCTGTTCCTGATATCCTCTCCGTGGAGCAGCTTGTGGATCGTAAAGGGATTACTCCGGCAATCAGAGCAATCCTTCAACCATCCTGCGACTACTCCTTCTATGACATGATCGTGGGAAATCACGGAACAGGGAAGACAACATTAGTCCGTCAAGTTGGCCACCAGCTGCCGGGCGTCATTTACGTCGATGTTACACCTGCAAGCCAATCGGATAAGGGGTTTGCCGAAACTCTTGCGAATAGGTGCAACTGGTTTCCTCCCTCTCGTTCACCTTTTCATACCCTGTTGTCCTGGTTGAATATTGCTGTTATGGAAGTTCCTGGTAAGTTTAAACTCAGTTACCAATCCTCATTTGGTGTGTATTAATTCATGGAAAGATGGAAGGGAACAGCTGGTCAAAGTATGGACAGAATTTGGGAATCAGGCTGCTAAATTCAAGAAAGAAAACGCCCGCAGTGCTGTCCTTATTTTGGATAACATTAATCGCCTTGCTGAGAATAACCCCGCCCTGCTTAATATGCTACAAGATCTGGCAAAGGATGCGGCGGACCAGCAGCTCTTTACCACTGTCTTTGTAACAAGTGAAGGAAGAGCACCAATACAGATGCTGAGTAAGCTTGCCCTCACGGAACATTTGGTATTGGATTTTGAAACTTTTGTACTAATTCAAGGCTGATGATTACTTTAGGTCGTTCCGCTGCATCTAGACTCGGAATGGTCCTGGTGATAAACGACTTGAACGAGGAAGAGGCCATTGGGTATCTTTGCAACCAGAAAGGAACTAGCACTACCGTGGCGTGGGAAATTTTCCGCCTTGTTGGTGGCCGAGTTGGGTTTTTGAAAAAGGCGGCTGGGCGTTACAATGCGGCCGTGGGCCTTGATGGTATGTTCGCTATCTGATTCCTGCAATAAAGTATTATTATCTTACTTGATAACCATGGCAGACCTGAAGGCCGAATTTTTAATGGAGGCCCGATCTGCATTTCGTAAAGCAGGAATCGAGGATGGGGGGGAGTTCGAGGATGTGGGAATCCAGCTTGCAAAACATATTCTCGAAAATGGGTCTATCACACGCAAGAAATTTTACTGCATTGCGGGAGGTCGTGTACAGGGGGACCACCTACTAAATGCAGATGTATTTAGTACTCTGCCTAGGTCTGGGCTGATTTTGTTTGCTTCTACTCCGGTAGAGATCATGGCGAAGGAACTAGTCCTTGAACGTAAGAACTAGTTTGCTGTGCCTGTTTCGGTTCAGGCTGACAACTTTGCTCTTTGGGCTTCTTAAGTTTGTAAATTGTGATTGGACGTTGTTACATCCGGGCACTGGAAGCTTTCTGCCTTTTAACTGGTGTTGTAACTTCATTCTAACTCTCTGATGACCACCTCGTTTCATGCTCACTTTTCTTACTATTCAAGTGCTCCAAACACCCCACTTTATATGGCCTTGTATGATGTCCCCATGCCTGCTGACCTTTCTCCATTATTCTTATCATACCCCACCACCCCTGTCCGCTCCTCTCTTCTGTTTGTTCTGTAAGATTCTACTGGCATCGGTCTACTCTGCTGTCCATAACCCATCACTAAAATTTGTCACGGGGCGGGGTGTTGTAAATCACCGGCACTCCAACTAACCCCTTGCCTATCCATGGCCACTCCGAGGACTGGAGACTTATCCGGGAGTGTCGGATGTTTGTAATGCTTAGGAGGAAATTGATAAGCAGGATGGAAGGTTCTAGAGATTATTACAGATGTGTATTATAGATTGATATTGCCGGGCAAGGAAAGGCAATACACGAGGGGGCAAGACGGAAAGTCATTGGTCAACAAAGCGGGGTAGGGCAATGTCTGTAGAAGCATAAAGAAGCTGAAAGAGGGGTAAAAAGCGGGGTCATGTGGATGACCAAGGAGACCGGTCTGGATGGGAGAAGCTACGATATGGATGTATATAAAGCCCGCTGCTTGAGAGGTAGTGGGAGAAAGTAAGGCAGAGAAAAAGAACGGAGCAACAATCGGAGAAAACATCAGAATCGGGTTACGGCCAACGGTTAGAAAAGACAAAAGCTTCCAATGCGCAGAAGTGAGAATATACAACTTCAATTCGTTTTACGTGGTGGGGTTGGTTTTACCATCAGGGGCCGAGCTGTAATATGGGCCCGGGGGGGAAATTGTGTCAGTCCTGCCCCCGCATGCTCCCATTCAGGACCCCATGTCTTCCCACCCAAATTTGCCGGGGGCCAGTCTAGGGCATAGGTGAGGTGGGTTCAGCCTCCAAAAATGCCACGCCCGGGACCAGTGAGTAGGCTGGAGCGGGTAACGAGGCCCCTGCGGCCCGGTAACGAACTCTATCCATTACGTCCATACTTCTCTCTATTGCCTTCCATTCTCTAGTCCTCCCATTTTTCACCAAAACATATTTGCATGAAATACCCTCCTAAACGCCACATCATCTTCATGAACTAACTTTCTAATATTTACAAATCCCGGCACACCTCTGGAAAAGTCTCCGGTTCCTTCAATGCAGCTAGGAGAACACCGCAGTTACTCAGAGAACCAGCAACCAAGCCACCACACCTACATGGTACAACCATCAGTTGTTGGTAAAATCTGCCGTGTCACCCTACTGTGAAAGGCAACACGGATATCTTTCTTGATCCTGATCCGCAGGGATATGGTTCTTCCCACCGCAAGAACAAAACATTATTGAAAATTACAATTACCCATTCCAGTATCCATTCAGGCAAGACAGCTTTGGTATTGGCTAAATATTCCCACGGTTCCAGGCATTAGCTCATGTATATTGTAGGTTCCTCATTTGCCTGTATATGTAGTGTTCATTACGCGGCGAGACAGGCCAGGTTTCTGCAAGTTTGAGGCACCTCCAAACTCTCAGCGCCCGGCCTCACCCCCCGCACGGGGGCTACCGGGCGACTCCAATTGTACTTCCACCCATATCATTTTGTGGGAGTAGTAGCGGGGCCCCATTCAGGGGGTGACCAGGGCGGGGGGCCATATCGGGGCGGAGGGAGAATGGAGGACAAAATAGGCCCCTCCCAAAGGGCAGGGACCGGAATTTTCAGGGGCTGCGGGGGCCCAGTGACAAACTCTCTGCATATGTGGCATAGTCTCATATCGTATTCTGTTTCATAAGAGTCATGAGTAGTCTTTTGTGGTTTTTCATGCATCTAATTTACTCTGGAATTCATGTGTATTAAGCACCAAGCCTGTAGGAGGATGAGAGAGCTACCGGCAGGAGCTTGGGCTCATGTAAAGGTATTGTTATGAGATGTCGCATGAGAGGACTAGAAGGGAAAGACGGAAGAAAGAAAGATGTCGAGTTGGTAGTTTTAGATACCAGTATCTTGTGTCTTTTGTTGCTTATCCTTCTATCTAAGGAATAGGAAAGCACTTTATATAGACAAATCAAGAGCACTCCCGAGATAGTGTTCCAGCCACTACAAGAAACAAAAAATCACAAACATACCGTCTTGGTGCTTCTGCGGGAATCCCTCCGGTGGGTCCCATGCAATGCCGGAGTTCTAGTATCTTTGCTCGATGAGAAATACATGACTCAGGCTTATAGAGAAGAATAAAATTGACCAAGGAGCAACAAATAGAAAATAACTAAGGAGAGGTATTTATCCATTGACTGAGATTCACACACACGGAATGGTCACCGGTGATATTCAACACTCTCCCTCACCGGTGATCACTAGCCACTCCTCTTCTCAGGTTCCCTCCACTGTGCAGCTCCCGATATCTCGCTTACTTCTCCTCTGGTGATTTAGCTAATCCAAGGCCCACGACATACTTTTCAAATTGTGGTCGTGGTAACCTATTAATTTTTCCATACCAGGCCCGTGGACATTGTTTTAATCCATATATTGCTTTAAGTAAGTGGCATACCATATGGTTTCGAGGTCCATCAGACCGCTGGTTACCATTTAGGCCTTCAGGTATCTCCATAAACACTATCTCCTCAACTTCACTGTTGAGGAATGCAGTTTTGACATCCATTGCTTCCAGTTCCCAATTGTTTTCGCAGACTAGAGCTAGAAGTGATCGTAAGGAGTTGACCTTTGCGACCGGAGCAGGGGTTTCGCTATAGTCTATTCCTGCCCTCTGGCTATAGCCTTTGGCAACTAACCTGGCCTCATAGCGACCATCTTCTTTGCGCTTAAACAGCCATCGGCATCCAATTGCCTCCCGCCCAGGAGGAAGTGGCTCAATGACCCCAGTGTTGTTTCGCGCAAGGGAATCAACCGCAGACCCCCATCCCTCCCACCATTATTCTCTATCAACGCTTTGTAAAGCCTCAGTCAGGGTTTGCGGCTGTTCAATCTTGCCAACCATTGCTCTTTCTGATTCTCCACTAAAGTGTTGGACTGGTCTTCGTTCTCGCATAGACCGCCGTAGTGCCTGTCCACTAACCCCTTTTTCCCTATTCCAGGCCAGATTATCCAGAGGCCGTACCACCACACTTTCTCCCCCAAACTCTTCTTGGTCTGGTCTCTCCCGACCTTGTTGTGGTGGAGTAATCCTCTCCATCCGCTTTCCGGCATTTTCTTTCCACTCATCCTGTGTCAAACAAAGCAACTTCTGTTTCGTGGGGGACTCGTACGGTCTCATCCACTGATGCTCTTCTCCCATTTTCTTCCACAATTATATCACGGGAGCTAACTGTTGCCTTGCAATCTGGGTCATAGATTCGATAGACTTTACTACACGCATCTTCATCGTATCCGACAAGAACACACTTGCGCGACCCTAAGTCTAACTTTTTTCTCTTTTCTTCCGGTACCAATACATGGGTTACTGACCCAAAAACACGCAGGTGTCCGATGCTGGGGACTTTCCCATCCCAGTACTGTAAGGGAGAAATGTCTTTATGCGACCGAGATGGAAGCCTGTTGTGTATGTGTGCTGCGGTGGTGACCGCAAACCCCCAGAATGATTGTTCAAGTTTTACATCCGCAAGCATGCAACGGGCACCCTCCATCAAAGTCCGGTTTCCAGGTTCCGCTAATCTATTATGAGCTACTGTATATGGTGGACTGACAATATGCTTGATCCCCGAGTACCAGAGGTAGGATTTGAACTGCTTGCTCAGATACTCCCCTCCTCCATCGGTTCTTAGTGCACCAATCTGACATCCAGTTTCTTTTTCTACCCATGCCTTGTATATCTTAAAGGCTCCTAGTGCTTCACTCTTAGCCTTCAAGAGTGTAACTGCAATACGGCCACTCATTTCATCAATGAAGGTAATAAAATACCTCTCTCCGGTGATCGTGTTAACCTGCATCGGCCAGCAGATATCAGAATGAACTATGCCGAGAAGTTCTTCTGTCTTCTGGCGGACACCGGTAATCGCTTCTCGATGTTGTCAGCTTTCTGCACATGCTGCACATAGATCTTTTTCTCCTTGATAGTCTTCATACCTCTTGATGTGGAACTCACTAACTTTTGGGGATAGATATTCGATTGTCAACTTGTCTAACGTTCGATGTCCCAACCTTCGGTGCCAGACCTCCAGACTTGCGGGTTTTGATTTGTTGGTAGCTAGTCCCAGGTATGCTTCGTCTATCCTTTCCTCATCATAGACATAGTATAGATTTCCTTGTCTCTCTCCCAAAACTCTTGATTCTGGGTTGGATAGTACACATTGATCTGCGGTAAAGCTGATTTGATAGCTGCTATCAATCATTCGGGCAACAGAAAGTACGTTACCCACAACCTCGTGAACGTAAAGTACTTTCGTGAGTTCATGATTTCCGATCCTGACATCTCCGATACCGGTAGCACTAATCTTGAACCCATTTGCAATCTCAATCGCTCGTGACGTAATTGCTAGGTAGGTTCCAGGCACGAAACATTTCTTTAACCCACAGAGATGCTGACTTGCCCCGGAATCTATAATCTAGCGACCCGTATCCCTCGTATGAAAAGCGCTATCAGCTGCCATAAACGTAAGTCCTCTTTGTCCTTGGAGGACATCCTGGCTTGGTTCTTTAGCCTCATCCGCCTTCTTCTTATAGCAATCCTGTTTCCAGTGTCCATCCTTCTGACAGTAAAAGCATTTACCTCTTCCTTTACTAGGTTGTCCGGCAGCTTTCTCAAATCCAATGGCGCTCCCCGCCCCCCCAGCCCGACCCTGGCCAGATATCCGCATACCTCCTCGACCTGGACCGTATCTTCCCCGTCCTATGGTCTTTCCTGGGTGGTAATGCCTGACAGAAAATGCTGCCCCAGAGGAAGTATGTCCTCCGCCTCCTTGTTGTGTAACCTGAGCTACCTGCCATCTTGCTGACTCCTGCAAGAGTCTGGTAGCAAAGATATCGAACGTGACATCGTCACTGGGTGATTGTAAAGCCATGATAATTGGCTCATCGGATTCCGGAAG